ATACATATGTATATTGTGATATCTGATTTATTCAATCGAAGAAAGATCGAAAGAGTCGACGAAAAGAATCATTTGTATGCATAGAACACTCAATGTTTCGCATTCGTTCTTACCCGCAGGATATAATCCAGTGGCCGTTCCTTCCTAACAGCGTTGCGAAGAGATTCCGCAAGATTGAAGATGTCTTTCAGTAGTTCTTTGTTGAAAATGTCCACTGTCAGAATATCGTGACCGATTATATTGTGGCTAGTGTGAATCGAACCGACCGATGGCACAGCAGCCAGTTGAAGATTTGGATTACTGTCGCTCTTGTATTTCGTTGCATTGCTAATAGGAAGTGGAGAGATGGTGCGTTGTTGAGTTGTTGTCAGAAGTTTCACGTGCTCGCGGGAATCTATGTCTAGAGCGAAGTGAACGTTCGTTTTATTCGATATGCAATTTTGCGCATACATGTCTGCAACAAATAAACGAAAGATTAATAGAAGGATTGAAATTTTTGTGTGCAATGGAGGAATTTATATTATATCACTCAGAAGATAGCATTTAATCATTTCATTTGCAAAATCTTACTCGATCCCTCAGGAATGATATCTAATTGTAAATGATTCAGAATTTGGAAATATTTTTGATTTTATGATTCATAATTTGGAATTCTTTCAATCAAGCGTGACAAATTTTCAAAGGAAAAGATATACAATGCACTGCTAGTTTACGGAGTAATAAATAGCCACATGTTGATTTCATTTATATATATATAATTGGAGTATTTAGTTTGAATTCTATATCTTTTAAGTGCCAGTTGATGATCTCTATCATGAAAGTAAAGAAAACAAAATTAAGTAACATAAAGTACCATTGTAAGTTAAATTAACTTTAGATAATTAAAGTCTAGAGTATTGTGAGTCATCTATTACTCGATGATATCTATATTTAATACTTTAGGAAAAAATTAAAAATAATGATGATATATATTTCATTATCAATCTTCGAAACTTTCTTTTTATTGATAATATTACGAGTGTTTGTTTAATGGAAATTAATTTCGATTAATGTAATAACTATATCTTAACTTAATTAATCTCTGTAATATTCATTACTATATTATATATAACAATAGGTTCCATTTCGTAATTCCACTCATAAAAATATAAATTTTTATCACAATTCGTAGTTTGTTTAATGCTATTATGTAATATCTCAGCGAAATAACAGATTAAATCGGACTGAAAGTTTTATCATTTTTTTTTGTACTACTATCTGCATCTTTTTGTATTGAATTTATAATCTTCAATCATTTCTTTGTTTAATATAATTTTGCTTAAAACTTGTACTTGTAAGTCATAGTTACGTTTATATAGTTATTTTTAAAGTTATATTCTAAGTAAAAATGTTATACTGTATTCAGAATATAATATTAAATACAACACATATTATAATATGTATTCGATGTTATAATATTCATATTATATTTAAAATACAACTATATATAAAAAAAATATTCTCGAAAGACAAACGATAAGATAAAAAACAGACAGAATTATTTTTATTAACGGAAATAATACCTTTTTTCCAAATGCTATCTTCTGAGTGACGAATATTATTTTCATCGAAACAAATTTCCATACTATTCTGCTCCTCCTCCAACATGTCCGTTACCCGTTCGTTGTAATTGTACTTCTCATAATTCGGTGACAAAAGGCCATCTAACGCCGAACCTGGTCGACTCTGACATCCTACATCCACCATCAAGGCATTCGGAATTGTTTGAGGTTTCATCTTTGCTTGCACCTCTCTGATATCTTGTCCAAAACCAGGGTTCACCAGAACTTGTCCCTCGACGTAGGCCACTTCTCCTCTAAGAACTACGCGATGAACCGATCCGCGAACTTTCATTCCTGCGAAAGGGGTCCATTTCGATTTGCTGAACGGCATCGCTTCAGGGATAACCCATTCGTCGTCGAGGTCAACCTCAACGTAGGTATTTGGCTGATCTGGCACATTGAAGATCCTCTTTGGGTTTCTGTAGAGCTTGTCTATTATATCCTGAGAAGATATAAAAGTTTTTTTTCGATATTACTTCGTGGGTACTTATGTCTGTGGTTGCGTTACAACCAATTAGGGGATGATATTGCATCGAAAAATAAGTCAACAATTAAGCGAATAATTGACAAGTTATTTTACACGCGGGGATACATCAGTTTTACAAAATAAAATTTAGTTGAATAATTTTATAAATAGCTTTATTCTTTAAATAATAATTTTCCGCGTGGATAATTATTCGCTCCTATCGGAATTAGCTAAAAATTCAAATATGTATCTGACGAATCTTGATCGATTCCTGAAATCTGAATTGATCTGACAAAATTCGATTTCCTCGGAAACGGAGACTTCGAATGAAGAAACGTTAGTCTTCCTTTCCGACTTATCTTTACATGTAAAATCACCCCCCGGCCTGTTGCATCGCGATCAAACAAGTTACAAACACTTTTTATCGTGTCTCAATGATTTATTAAAAAGAAGAATGTCTTAATACGATACTGCGTATCTCGACATCCCGTGTTATCATCGTTTTTTTTCTTCTTTCAAGGCGGATTTCAATTACCTCGATCGTTAATTTTCCTTCATGAACCGCGGTCAAGAGGAGCGGAAGCATTGTCTCGAGTCCGGGGAATCCAGGTGGTGGTTTCTCGCTTGATTTTTCCTGCACGGTGTGCGGTGCTTGAAGATTAAATACATATTTATATTTAACACACGTCTGTTTAAACAAAACTTCAAAAAGAACTCCAAACAGGTAAAATTCCTTCAAACATCTCTATCTAATCCGTTTATCTCATACATATCTATACAATATAATCATCACATGTTTCAACGAATTAATCGTAATCTTAGATTTATATAGGAATTATCAACTGAAAAATTGAAAAATTCTTCGAATGAAGATGTGTTCTTATTCTACCAAAATAATTCGTGTATTAGAACATCTCGGTGAGGTAGAAGAATTAAATGTGCTACTAAAAATGCATGTAGCATTGAAATTTTTGTCGCAACACACTATTGCCCGGTGTTTCTCTTTTTTACAATAGAATTTTGTTTATTTGAAGAAACTAAAAATTCAGATAACAGAAGATGACTTTCTATGAAGACTTTCTCCATGTCCTACACGTTTGCATAATGAAAGATAATAGATAAGGATGACAGAAGTTTATCAATTACCTATCTGAGATCCAACATTAACTAATTCGTTGAGAGAGTAGTTTTATTGTACATTTAACATAAAATTTGATAATTAAGAAATTAGAATAGTACTTTTATTGTAGAATAGTAGTTTTATTGTACATTTAACATAAAATTTGATAATTAAGAAGTTAGAATAGTACTTTTATTGTAGAATAGTAGTTTTATTGTACATTTAACATAAAATTTGATAATTAAGAAGTTAGAATAGTACTAACCATGATCTGTTGCGAAACAATCGATTACATCTAAATTGTCCCAAAGAGCTTGTTGATCTTCTTTGGTTCCTAATATTGGTCTTACTTGACCTCGACCGGGCCCTATGCGTTCAAGATCGTCCACACATAGAAACAGATGATGAGGACACACTTCACAAGTGACTGCCATCCCCTGATAAAAATATGAAACAAATACGTATAATACATTCATAATATATTATAGAGAGAAATATTGATTATGGGAAAACGATGTCTCGACAATCACAGAGAGGTATTTTATATTTTTAATTAATGAATAGGTAAAAAAAAAAAGTATGTGTACAATAAATTAATCTTCTCGTTTTAATAAAACTTATCGGTTGGTTCAGAATTGTCCTCGATATTGAAATTTATATATATATATATATATATATTTTTTTTTTTTAAGCAGTAGGTGTAAAATTATTAACTTT